TACTATTTTTAAGACTTGATACATGCATTTTCTTTCATTAATACTATACCCTTTCTAGGACATGTGGGCTTCTCTTGCATTTTAGTTATTTGATGGACTGCTTATACATAAAATATTTGTAGCCCCTTTTAGGATTCATCCCTGTGGAGTAGCTTATTAAGCTCTTGCAACTGTCTCTGTAAGAGAAATATGTCACGATATCTCCTAGCAGTCATTGTATGTAGTGAATTCACTTCTCTGCTACACACCTAGAATGTTACTGTGTGCCATTGTCTTAGGAAGAATTGAGTAATAGTCTCCAAAATCACTTTCCAGACACCATGAATCAGTGGATGCTGAACCACTGAAGGTTGGCAGAAGATTGCTGAACTGACTTAATCCTTTTAAAAGCATGTGCTACTGAAATTGCTAGCCTAAGCCCTTTCTTTCAAGTAGTTTAATAGAATTTCTAGAAGTCATTAGTGTTGCTTTGTTTTTTAAATCTAAAAAAGAAAGGAAGAATATAGGTTAGTAGTTGTTGGATAATTCTGGAGAAGGAAAATATTATAATCATAAGTTTTTCAGGTGATAAAAAATTAGTATTTATACTCAGTGTTCCCCTCAAAGCCTCATGTGTTCATAGGCTGGGCTTTGGGAAGGCGAGTGAATCACTGGGAATTAATTCCTGAGTAGGTTTATAGTTAAATGTGTTATTGGGACGTGAAGACTGGTCAGAGGCGGTGGTCACCACAGACATAGCCCTGAAGGCTGTATCTTCCTCCCTCCTCCCATGATCTCTCTACACTTCCTGCCTGCCATGCCATGAGCAGCTTTCCTGGTGATGCCCCTTTGCCACGCCACCCTGCTTTGGAGCTAGACTGCTATAGACTGAAAGCTCTGCAAACCGTAAGCCAAAATAAGCTCTTCTTCTTTTAAAAATCCAGTACCCAGTCTTGTGTCTCATCAATGAGAAACTAATTTAGACAGCAGTGACTTCTACATTTCCTGAAATTTAAATAAATTTGTGTTTGCTAAACTATAGAAATGTGCACTAGAGCAAACTATGTTGCTAAATGATAATGAAAAACTTAGAGAAAATGTGACAGAAATAAAATTATAACCAAAAAGTAAAAAATAAAATGTAGCATGCTGGGAATTTTGTGCAAGAGAAACATATCACAAATTCTTCTGCAAGTTTAATTTTGTAGTTTGGAGCACTAAGCATTTCAGACTTCCCTTCTAACACCTTAGATTTACAGCTTATAGTTTGTTGTGTCATCATTTACAACCAAATAAAATTATGATTTGACTTCATGAAAGATTTCCCTGAACAACAAAAGAAATCAACCTGTCCTAGTGAAAAGATCAATGTTTCTCTTATTTTCAAGTGAAGATTTATTTACATTTTCCATATTCATTTGCCAAACTTTTTCCAGCTCATACTTAGATTAAATCTTTTAGGTAAATATTAAATCATACAATACATAGTCATCAAGAATTGCATAAGGAATTTCAACATTGTTTAAAAAAAAACAGAAACTCAATAGAAATCTTAGAGTTACCTTAGTACAAAATCTGATATCTACATCATATTTCATTTTGTAACTATATTGGACAGATTCGGAAAGCCAAGGACACTTCATGTTGACCCCAGGGAACCTAATCTTGCTATTGGTCTTGATCTTTCGTCTAGGGAGACCCACAGACAAGAGACACTGAGACAGTATGGATGATCTCTAACAACTTCCTAAAAATTGCTTTGACCTAGTTGAAAATGATTCTCACCTTTTATCAAATGGGAACTGCCAGCCAAAGGTCCTGTGTTCTTGTTCTCATGGGTGGAGGATAGAAGGCCTCAGACTAAGCCAGTCTGTAGCACGTATGGGTACACACACACACACACATATACATCTACCTTACAGTTCTCATTAATGATTGTGTAATGAACTAGAACTACAGCATTCTAAGATAGAAACAGGCTGGCTGGGATAACCATTCTGTGAAAAACAGAACGACTTCCACTGCTTGAGCTCAAAGTGTCAGGTTTCCCCACCATGCCAAGTCCAGGGAGAGTTGTTTTCTGGGATCTTCAGCTGTGCTAACAGCGGAAACCATGTGGATGGGGCACCATGGCCTTGGTCAGAGCCCTGACCATAATGAATCCAGTGTTTCTGATGTCTCTTATGATGTCTAACTGCAAGTAACAAAGCTGCCAGACGCACCTTGTAGGTAAATGTTCTCTTTGGACTGAGACTACTTGGTACCCAAGAGAGAGTGACCTGTATCACAGTGTGTACTTTCCTCTCCCTCAAGAATATATGGTTTTGAATTTCCTGAGAGTTGAGCTCCCTTGGGTAAAGAGTCTTTACTGAGCTTTAAAGTTGCACCATGAGAAAGGAGGATGACTTCAAACCACTCCATTTTAGGATTCACATTTCTAACCCTTCCCTTTCTTAACCATCATTAAGTTCAGAGTGCTTGACTTTAGATGTTTTGGGTTCACAATCTTCTTTGCAGATCAAGGGGAAAACAAGACAAGTGAATCCAGGAGAAACATTTCCAGTTCGCTTAAACATGATGCCAAAGAGCTAGAGAGACCTGAAATTCCCTTGCCTCTGTCTCTACCTCTGTCTTGACACATGCTTCTGCCATTTTGGAACAACTGCTTATTGGCCCTTCCCAGTCCCTCATGCGACCTGGTTGTGAAGTCCTCCCTGGTGTGAATCACATAGTCAATACAATTCTAAGACAAGATGATGTTCACAGCAATCTCTAGAAGGTCTGGTTTAACAGATAAGCAGAAGTGAGGCAGGTATTTGTTTTATGCTCATAGGTCTAATTTAATGACACTGTTTATTTCTCTTTGACTTTCCTTTATGTGACATCAAATTGCAGTGGAAACATAGTTGCCCATCAGGACCACACCCTTCCCCACCTGAGTTGAAGGAGACCCATGCCAACTTCTCCCACAAAGTACAGTTTACACCAACTCATGACTGAAGAGTAGAAGGGTTGGTCCATGTTGCAAACTTACCCTTAAAATATCTGCCACAAAGATATCATTTCTTTGAAGTTGTTTATTTGCTGCATCTTAAAAATTCATGAGGTTTTAACACTGTCACATAATACAGTTTTGCTTTGATATAAAAATGGAGTTTAAATTACCTATTCTTAAGAAAATGTATGTTTTCTGGGCAGACCTGGTACATTTGCATTTGGTCCTGAATATGCCAGCGGGTTGCTTAGTAACCCACTGGACCTCATTCCACCATATCCAATCTATGCTTGGAGAAGCACTCCCAGGAGGCAGTATTCACCCATCCATCCTCCAACAAACATTCACAAGTAGCAATGTTTGCAAAGCCTTCTACACCCAGGACATGCAACATCTCAAAGGTTACAATTTCTAGTAAAAGACTTTACATTGGCGTTTCTAATACGAAAATGAATGTCAAGGCTGTATAGCAGGTATTGGTATTTGGTAAGCATTTTAAAATGTGCTTTATTTTATTGCAATTTTTTCTATGATTATCCTAAAAATGCACTGGAAAGCAATAAGTAGTACTGGTTTCCTGCTTTAAAAGAAAGAATTATGAAAGCCTTGGCATAAAACAAGGCCAGAATAAGAAAACCTCACCGGTTCCATGAGATGCTGACCTTCATAATGCTGAAGATCTTTTGGTTAAAAGAATTTCCATGACTGCATCTCAGATAACACTACCAGGATGAATAATTTCTTTGTCTGTGATTATCTGTGGCTTGACTCCCTAACTTCTTAATTGATTAAGTATTATTACCCCAGAAAGAACAGGAGCTCCTTAAAATAAAAACAATTGTTCTAACTCAACACTACCCAAAAGAAATACATTGCAAGTTGTATTCATATCTTCACTTTCTAGTAGTTGCATTTTCAAAAGTAAAACAAAATGACATTTAAAAAACATAAGCCCAACTATGACGGTTTCAACATAAAGATTCTGAGGTATTTTACATATCTGTACAAAGTCTTAAAAGTCCAGTAGATATTCTGTACTCACAGAGCCTCTCAATCCAAAGTAAATACATTTCATGTGTCCAAAACCTATGTTAGTTGGGGATTATTAGGCTTTACATTTAGGATTCTGCCCCCAAATCTCATGGGAACAGCAGTGGAGCTTTGGGCAGGTGACTGGATTAGGGGGGCCCCAAACTTATCAGGAAATTAGTCCACAGATGAGTTAAAAGCTGAATGTGCTCTTAGAAGCTGGGGGTAATTTTGAACTGAGTCACTGGGAACAGGACTTGGGACAGTGTGTTCCTGAACCCAGCTGCCCTGGCATCCTTTCTCTCTCTACTTCCTGGTCACCAAGCTTTGAGCAGAGCCCCTCTGCTCTACCCTTCTGCCATGCAGTGGTTGCCTTGGAACCAGCACTGCTACGGTGAACCAGAATAAACTTTTCCATTAAATTGCAGGTTTGAGAATGTTTTCCCAGTGAAAGAAAAGAAAGCAATATGGTGGCCACCATAGTAGAGACTTCCGCTGTGAGCAGACACCAAAGGCCCAGTTAAAAATTCAAGAAGGCCACCCAAAAGGAATTTATCATTGAGACTTTTAAGGTTTTGATATTGATTTTGTACATTTACAATCACAGTCTTATGAAATGGGATTGCTTCTAAATTTATTGATCGCTTCACGCAATGTAAACTAAAGACTGTAAACTTTGGGATTAATTAGTACTGTAGTTATGAACGCTAAAGGAGTAGTTCTGAAGTAGACTTTTATCTTTACCTTAGACAGTTCTGTGGAGCTGGGATTTTTATTCTTATTCTTGTGGTGGGGTAGGGGATGTTTTCCAACATTACCAGGCTCTTGGGCATGCTGTCTGAGTCTCCTGCTCAGTCTACCACACACACACACACACACACACACACACACATGTATATGCACACATATAAACTTGTAGAGAAAATGTTGCTGTGCATACTAAAAATGTACATAAAGCAAATGTTTTCTTGGTGGGAGGCAATGAAATATCCTTCCATGAATAAAAAGGCTTTTTATTAGCTTCGAGTCCCCTTAGTTTAGGATAGGGGTGGTTAAAAGCTACACGAGATTCTTTCAAATGAAGGATTACTGTAATACTTTATGCAATTGTTCACTTATTATGTTTCATATACTTAAAAACACCAAGTCATTGCTGAAATCCCATATAAATCTCATATAAACCATCATTACTTTTTAGAAATAAAGTCACTTGACTCGTAAAAGGATTTAATTATTTCTCCAAGTGTTAATTATTGTTAGATACAGTAGGGAACTGGGGATATACAGAAGGCTTGTTTTTAGAAATAAAATCCTCATAGCCCTTCTCCAAAAATTTTAACATATTATTTATTTAATCATATTGCTAACATTGCTACCACAAAAACATTCCAAAAAATACAGGAACTATCTGTTGTGTACCATCTAGAGTACACGTGAATAAATTCATACGTTAAGAATGGAAACACAATTGAGTTGACAATAACAATATTGCAGACAATAATGGAATATTTACTTATTCTATTAGGAATACACCTAACAATATAAAAGCATATGATAACATAATAAAAATATGGTAAAAATTACTCGTATATCTCAGGTACTGAGCCACACACTTTATATCCATTATGTTGCCGAGTGCTCCCATGACCTTGACGTGTACACACGATCATGTGTCCTACACAGGAAGGATAAAGAAACTGAGTCACTGGGAGAGACTGATTGCCCCCTGGTTAAGTAGTGGTGCTGTAGAATGAAAGAAAACCTTGCTCACTTTAGGTCCAAGCTCTTAACCATCGTATTCTCATAGTGGTCAGCTTTCCAACTCCATGATAAAATATTAGATGTAACTGAAAGAGGAAAATTTTATTTTTCAGAATTTTCAGCTCACGGTCACTTGGTCCCTTTGCTGTGCACCTGTGGTAAGGGAGAATATCATGGTCAGGAATGGGTAGTAGGCAAAGCTACTGGGCTCATCGTACCCAGGAAGCAAAGAGAGAGGATGAATCAAGGTCCCAATGTCTTCTTCAAGAGTGTACCCCCAGTGACCTCCTCCCACTAGATTTACCTCCTGAAGGTCCTACTCCCTCTGCTAGCACCACGGCTGGGGACCAAGCCTTCTACACCCGTATCTTTGGGAGACATTTAAGATCCAAGCCATTAGAAGCATTTTACAGCATTTTGTCAAATCTTGTTTTCTGGAGACCAAAGAAGGAATGTGGTTTGGAAATGCTAAAAATCTAATTAGTGCCATAGCCTCATACAGAAACCAACTGTTCTGACTTCAAGGACATGATTATTCCAGGATAATGCTCTGATCTTAACTCTTCGCTCACAGAAAGCTTCTTGTAAACATCAGTTATTCTGAAGCAATGCAGAAACCTTGATTAATGGGACTACTTTTTTTCACGATAACCAAGATAGCCATCAACCTACGTGAGCACAGATAGCTGAAAACATAAAGGCCATGTGAGATGGTAGATAGATCATAGATAAATAGGTAAATAAGTAGATGGTAATGTTATTGTGCCCTGAAGAATGAAAAGAGTTATCACTTGCACCAACATAGGTATACCTAGTGGACATTAAGCAAGTAAAGTGAGGCAGACATAGACAAATACTGCACAATCTCAAGTATACGTGTATATTTGAGTTCTGTAGAAAAATTATACACATATATGTTTTACTCTATTTCATTCATAATTCATTATATATGCTTATGAAGTTCATACATATATCTGTGAAATTATGTAAGGGGTAAACTTCTAGGATCAGAGGTGGGGGAATCCCCAGTAGACATTTGCATGCTAGAAAGATGGAGGATTCAGTAGCTGCTCAGTCCAAGAAGCTGAAAATTACAGGACAAGAGCAAGGATGCAGTACCTGTCTGAGACTAAAAGCGAGGCAGCTCCCTGGATAGCTGCTGGTTTGCATTGAAAGAGTGAAGAAACTGGAGTCTGATGTCCTAACACCAGCTCAAGCAAAATGGAGCCTTCACAGATCCAAGGCATCCTCCTTCCTCTTTCCCTTTTATCTTATCCAGGCCAAAAGTCTACTTGTTGGTGCCACCCATAATTAAGGTGGGTGCTCCCCACCCTATTTCCTGAGCTATGAGCCAGTCATCCCTGGGAACACCTCACAGACACACCCAGAGCTCTACTTTACTAACCTGCTAGACTATATCAACAGTAGCAGAGAATAGCATGGCCTTTGTCAGGGTCTGGGATGCTCTCAGAGTTCCTGTGGAAAGAAGGGTGGGAAGATAGAGAAATAAAGAAAGAGTCTGTGTACAGAAATCTGAGGTCAGGTGGAGCCGTCTTTCCATATGGGAGGAGGAGAAACTACACAATGACTCCAGCACATTTACTTATACATTTGGTAGGTCAATGTCACATAAAACCCCTCTGCCTAGCAACCAGCCTGCATGGGAGCCTAAAGGCTTGGTGTTCTCTGGACTGCAGCGCTCTTTATTCCAAGGTTCAGTCTTGCTCCAGTCCTGCATGTTTGATCAATGTCCAGCTTCAGATCCTGCCCACACAGGGGCATGAGGAAAATAGGGAGGTGTTTGTCAGAGGGTACGAAGTTTCAGTTCTGTAGGACAAGTAAGTTCTAAGAGCTTATTGCACAGTATGGTGACTTGAGATTTCGTAAGAAATTAAAGCAGGTCTTTAATATTTTCACTAGACACACTAAAATGCACAGACACAGACACACACACACACACACATACACAAAGGGTAACTGTGTGAGGTAAAGGATGTGCTAGCCTTGCGACTGGTCATCATTTCAAAATATATCTGTAAACAAAGCATTCCATGATAAACCTTAAATATATATAACTTCTGCTTGTCAATTACATCTTAATGATGCTGGAGAAAGCAGCTATTCTTGGGCTTGTCACTCCCATAATATTGCAACCACTCAGTAACTGGGGCCCAGTCTATGGTCTCTAGGAATGGGCCCCAAAAGGATTCAGAGAAGCCCACGTCCTGGCGATTTTCCCAGCATCTTCTGTGGACCATCTGTTTCACTTCACATCTTTCACTTTCTATTTTTGTTTGCCAGGATTTCTCCATTCCCTTGTTTATCCTTTGATTAGATTATCTGATCCATGAATGGCTGCAGTAGCCTTTCTTCTGCCTGTTCTTTAATGGATATGAATAGAAGTCTGGGGTTCAGGGTCACTTCTGCCATTCTAGCTGCACCCTTGGCTTGGCAGTCATCCCCTGGGGATGTCAACTTCTCCACCTGTAGATACTGAGGAATTTTTCCCGTTTTGCTTTGTGCGTGGTGGCCTGCTGCGGTGAGCATGCTAAGTCTGCTACACAGATGAATGTTTATCCACTTATCAATTGCCCTTCACTCCGTGTTAGTCATTGTCGTGCCTTCACGGTCACGGTTTTCTGTCCTAACCTTGAATAAATTGCTTTATCTTTAGGCACCAATCAGGTTTATATTGATCCTTAAAGACTAATGGAATCTAATCTCTGTTAGTTCATCAAAAAGAACAGTTTGTGTTTTCATTGTCTGATTGTTTGATCATTTTTTCATGCCTAATCTTGTGATCTGAACAACTACCTTCAAGATAACAATATGTAATACATTAACTACAGTTAATTTCCTACTTTTTGAGATTCTGTATTATTTTTATCCTTTTTTAGTTGTTTTTAAAATTTAAAAACACTAATGTGAACTTGTTCACTCCCCTGGCTAAGAATAAAATCAGCCTCCTGACTACAGTTCTTGTGCGTTCTGAAGTACTCACCTGCATCAGGATGGGGCCCCTGATTAGCATAAGAGAAGTTCGTGATCATGGTGCCCGCTCATGGGCGTATTCTAGTCTCACAAAGTCTGGCCTTCCCTTGACAGGTAGATTGCTAATCATGTATGAATACTTGAGCGGACACCCTAGCCTTTGAGGCCAAAACCCTCCACTCATAAAAGAGAGATAATATCTAGAGAATGAGGGATGAAGTGTGAGCCAAATACAAGGGAAGCAAGGTGAGCCCCATCCCTTCCCTGGCGGTGCATCCTCAGGTATTCAGACCCCTGATTGCGTTCCTCATCTTCCTGGGCCAGCTTATTAGCAAGTCTCCTCTGTTTACTTCCAACAAATGCTATGAGTTCCATCTTTTCTCAGCACTCTCCCATCCCTCCCCCCATTTCACGTCCAGTCAAATCCTACAGTATTCTGCATCCTTTGCTGGACACCATTTATTATTGTTTTAATATGTAAGTCAAACCATGTCACTCCATTATTTAAAGCGCGCATAAAAATCTTCAGTCACACTGTAAATAAAATTTGAACTCCAATCATATAGACAAGGTCCGACACGGTCAGGCCCCAGATGATATCTCTGACTGCACTGCATAATACTTAGCCCTCTCTGTGTATTCTGATTATTGCATTTATTTCTGTCCCTACAAATCACAAAGGTGCTTCCATCTCAGGGTCATTTCACCTCATGTACCCTCCTCCTTCTTATCATGGTCGACTAGGTTTCAGTCCTTAGATCTGTGAGGCATTGTCCTAGATGTCTGCCTAAGACAAGCCTCCCTTCCTTACAGGAAGCAAGCTAGACTCCACCCCTCATCAGGCTTTGTCTCTTTACTCTCTTATTATTCTTTGTGACATTTACCTCCGAGTAAAATTACATTATTTTTCCATTTGCTGGTTTATTGTTTGCTCAATATTCTAAATAAATAAGCTCTATGAGAATCAAAACTATATCTTTTGAACAATGTTAACACTACACTGGCTCATAGTGGGAGCTCGATAAATATTAGTTAAGTAAAAATATAATAACCATTGTGTTCCAGTGACATCCACAATGCAAACAAATAACACTAGGTGTATCCTTGCTATTGTGTGTGTTCCTCTGCACTGGTAGGGTGGGAAATATGCCGTAATCATCTCAAGCATCCCCTCAGTTTGGGGCATGTATTTGATAATCAGTGAAATTTAATGAAGAAATGGCTTTTACTCATTGTCAGTCCTTGTATCACACAACTCTCAGCCTCCAAGGAGAGAGCTGAGGAAGTTGTTAATACTCCCACTTTGTCACAGTAGGAAAATACAGAGGAAGGACAAATGTTCAGCTTGTGGCCGTACCAAAAAAAAAAAAAAAAAAAAAAAAAGTAAAAGAAAAATAGGAAGTAAATGCCAGATGAGGTGAAGTTTTAAGCTGCAAGCATACTGGGAGGGCTCTGAATATCACACTCAGAAATTTGAACTTTATGCTATAATATTTTGTGAAACAGTTGCAAAGCTGACCAATATAATAATCACAATCAGTTTCTTATGCCACGTAACACTTGTGAGTTTAATGGTTGCAATTTTGGTACCCAAACAATCCAGTCAATGGAATGAGTGGTAAATTTCCTACTTATTTTGTACTTCGGGGCTAGCCAAGTACTTCCTCTACTTAATTTATGTGAAAGTTGTAGTAGTTTCTATATGTACAAGATCTAAACTTAAATCATTTCTGAATAGATTTTAAATAAATATCAGCTAACCATTTACCTGGTCATATATTCATCCATATGTCCTTAAAATCATTTAGTTGATTATTCATCTGTATTAAGTACTGACCATAAACCAGAGACTAGACTAGAAGTCAGATATTAAGTTTCTAAATGGCTCCTTATAAATAAATGCATGTGCGTATATCTATGTATATTTACAAATTTCAGGGACCTAGAAATCTTCCTTTAGTCACAGGCATCACTCCTATGGTATTTTATAATTAAGGTTTTTAGAAGTATTGGATTTATTCCTTGTATAAATGTTCCAGACTTCTTATGATGCCCTAACCACTAGGTATAAAACATAAGCAAAAAGCCCACGACCTTCAGGAGCAGGTTTGTCTGTTGTGTAGGTCAAAGTGCAGGTGAGGAGAAGTAAATCTCCACAGAAAAGACACACAGCCTTCACAGGAGCCTTAGACAGTGGACACATTAGCATCACCTGTACTTCAGATCAGAAAACTAGAGTCCCTGGCTTCACAGAAAGTCAGAGAAGACTCTATTTGTTAATGGCAATGCCAGAATATTCATACCACTTTTCGATCCAAAAATCTATCCTTGTTTCTTATTTCATTTTCCTTTCTCTTCTCTTAGCTTCCTAAATATTTTAACCCAAAAGCCATCTTGTGTGACAGCACAAATTCAAGAAGTACACTTGCACAGGGACAGCCACTGTGGCTTAGGAAAAGGCTTTTGCAGCAATGACTTGTCAGGGCTTCAAGATATCCAAACACTCAACAGAAAACAGTCAAAAAATGGAGATTGTGATAGGTTGCATGTGGAAGCTTTCCAAGCAGACCAAAGGGCCACCATACTGCCTTTTGTGACCCAACACTGAAACAGCTATAGAACTCCACAATCACAGAGCTGTGGTGTTAAGGGAAGCAAACACAAGTCCCACCTTTCAATAGGAAGAGAGCCAACAACACATTAGAAGAGCACGTGGAGTGCAAGGTCTTTAAGGAACCATCTTGGAGAATACAAGCTTTCCCAGATGCAGTGAGCAGAACACAGAATCACCTTTGAGATATTCCCCAAGAAAGTGCACTGTGAGGTGAATCATGAAGTGATTCTTAGATAAAACCTCCACTGGGGCCAGAGGCAGGAATAATTGTCCTGCAATCATCATCCATACCAAGAGCATGAAATTCCAGGCAAGACTGGTGGATGTTTCGGACAGGAAGCTGGTGAAGGAAAAACAGCAGCTAGCAGCAACACATAAATCTAAATGAGCCCCATTCACTGTGAATAACTGTACTGGGACTTTAGGAAACTTTAGTGGAGTTTAAGGTTACATGTTCATCATGTACGGAGGTTATTTTCCTTATTTTGGTGATAATGAAATGGTTATGTGGAAGAACATCCCTGTTTAAGGAGAGTGAATAATACAGTGTGCACAAGAGTGGTGGCAATGATACTAAAAAGTCCTTTGTTCCATATTTGAAATTTTTAGTAAGTTTGGGATTATGTAAGTGTTCTGTCTGCCCTTTGCAAATAAAGCAAGAGTAGGTACCCAAGGCCAGAGCCATCAGTAGCAAGGAAATAATTGAGCATAAATCAATTGAAACTAACCATAAATATCTACCAAACATATACTTCTAGGTTAAGGCAACATTTAAATGAAAACTTTAATGAGCACATTTTCTGTTAGATTCTCCTTTTCATTTCAACGGGAGCTTGTTACTGCACTAGGCTCTTAAAAGAGGAAACAAACCCTGTTTCCTAAATAACTCACTCTTTGTATTGACTAAGGTCCCAGTGGGTAGTTTAGAATCAATCAAGCAAGTGTCATAATGCAATCTCACTGAAACCTCCCCAGGTGTGCAGTCATCTGCTTGGAATTTCCACTATTCAGGGTTATGCTTAGACTTTTAAAATTCTTGACGCTCATCTGGTTACATAGATAAACTTTGTTCTTAATTATTCATTAAACTATTTGTGCTTCTAAAGCCAAAAAATCTACTAGCTAACCTTTAAAAAATGTTTGAATAGAAAACAGTTTGGATGTAATAACCAACTTCCTATATTTGTTCTCAGTTTTTCTGGGTATTAAACAACTCCGAGAGGAGCATCCGCATATATTTTGTTTTTATTGTATAACAACAGTTGCAGGTGTCCATATTGCATGTGGCCATTACAGGTGTCCTCTTTAGAACCTAACAGCCCATTTCCCCACAGTACACCCTTCTTCTCTGCCAACATCAACCCTTGGCCGTCCCACCAGAGCCTCACCTTCCTGCATGCGAACACTGGGTATGTGCAGTGTGTTTCCCCAGTGGACACTTGCCTGATGTTTCCAATATCTGGTATTTCCTCTCCAGTCAGCTTTCTGCTGTCTATGGAAGTACCCCCTAAAATACATAAATTTACATCTGTGCATGGTACATATTTATGAGTCAAAATTAAACTAAAATTTTACTTCCTCAATTACACAAGCCATGTTTGTACTTTTCAATAGCTACATGTGATGAGTGCCTACTATTTTGGACAGAGCAGACTAAGAATATGACTGTCTTTTAGAACCCTTTATTCAATAACAGATAATAACTGTATACATTTGTGAAGTCCAAATGACTCTTTGGTACATCTATGTTGTAAAATGAATTAATTATGCTCATTAGCATAACTATCAGGCACACACATTTTTTTTTTTTTGGAGTGTGAGAACTTTTAAAGTCTACTCAAAATCTTTGAGGAATGGCCCTGGGCTGCACTGTGAGTGCCTCAAAGCCCATTTTTGAAGATGTCAATTGGGCAATTCCAGGAGCTGATAAAAATATTCCTACTGACTCCCCTATTCCCCAAACCTTTGATTTCCAAGAAATATAAGAATTAAACCATACATTTGAGCAGCATGCTGTGATCTGACAATATACATGGGATTATTGCAATTCTTTTTTTATATATTTATGCAAGCTTTATGGGGTATTATGTGCTTTATTTTGAATAAAAACTATGAGTGTTGCTGAGAAAAATGTATGTTATCTAGAAGATAGTACATTCTATAGATACATACAAAATCCATTTGAAGATGTGGTACAAGTCTAATATATTTCTTTTCAGATTTTCATGTAGGTAATCTATTAGTGAACATGAGATACTGTGACCCCCAACTACATTCATGTTTATGTTTACTCGATCCATCATGTCTAGCTGTGTTTGTTTTATAAAGTTGGTGTGCTGGCATTCATAGTATATTAAACTTAAATTTTTTTATCTCTTTCCAAAGAATTGTTCCCTTAATTTATGTACAGAGATCTTCTTTCCTCCTCTCAACAGCTTTGGTTGAAGCCTACTTTGAAATTAAAATAACTCCTTCTGCTTTCTTTTAGAACCCCGTTGCATGAAATATGGTTTTCTTACATGGATTTTTAGCATATAAATTTCTTTCTGGATTAAATGTGTCTCTTGTATGCAGAATACCATAAGATATTACTTTATTAATCTGATTTACAAACCTATGTCTTTTGATTGAAGAATTGAGGGCATTTATATTGAGAGTTGTCACTGAAAAGCATTAATATATTCCTGTCATTATCACTGTCTTGTTGATTCCTTTAGTTTTTCCCTTTTGTCTAATTGATCATCTTCCTTGATGTACTAAGTACTTTAGGCATTTTGGCAATGTTGGCTTCATTATCTCTAACTAGGGTATCTACAAGAATTCTTTGGAGTGCTAGTTTCGTGGTCATGAATTTCTGAAGGTATTCTTTGTCAAGAATATATTTCTTTCTCCATGCATTTTGAAAGATTATTTTAGAGTATATATTAGTCTGTACCAAAGTTGTTTACTTTTATGATTGGAAATATTTCACTTCAAACTGCTGGCCTTTAAGACTTGTGTTGAGAAGTCTGCGTTAAGCCTAATTGGTTTATATTTACAAGTGATTTGTTGTTTTTCTCTAACAACTCTTAAGATTCTGTCCTTCTGTTGAACGTCTGTTATTTTGACTATGATGTGTTATAACGAAACTTTTCTCTGGTTATGGCTATTTAACATTCTAAATGCCTCACTTTTCTGTATTTTGATTCCTTTCTCCACACTTGGAAAATTTTCTGCTATGATACCTGTAAAAAGATAATTTTTGTGTGTGCTGTTCTTTGATTTTTGTTTAACTCCAGTGAGTCATAGGTTAGCTTTGGTTGTTCCAATGAGTAGCTACTGAATCAATTTTAATTGCTTTATTGTTACTGTTTAAGATATTTGAATCAATGCTCTTGTCTTCTCAGTCTGATATTCTCCCATCATGTTGATCACTTATGCTGCTAATACTCTCAGTCCAATTATTTCTCTCTCTCTCTGGGATTTCTATTGGGCACATTTTCATGGACTCGAATTCCATAGTAAATTTTTCATTCATGATTTGAATATTTTGGTTAGCTCTTTTAATTTGTTACTTGAATTTTCTTTAAGCTCATTGATCAGTTTTTTAAGTCCACTATTTATTTTGTTACGTTATCTATGATTTTGCTGGGGATCTTTCTCTGATAATTTTATACCAACCAACCATTTAGTGTTTGATTTCTGGTCCATTGATTCTCCTTGTAACTGCTTTGGAGGAATCAGTAGTTTGGGGAGATATTTTTTGTACCTTTATTTTCTCAAGGATCAGTTGTGTGTGTGTGGGGGGGGTGCTGAGGATCAAGCAGAATGTAAAATTCTGAGGTCAGTCTGGAGACCATGTTAACCACTGTGATGTGGTTTTTTACTTTTTTACTTCTTGATATTGTCTACTGCTTTGATTGACTTGATTTATTAGGATCAGATTAAGTCACAACGTTGCAATGGAAGAGTTCCTAGGTAATAACAATGTTAGCAGAACATGCATCAGTCAATTATAATTAAACTTGCTTCAAATATTTCACCCTTTTTTTCAGGATCCCTTCCAGCCTGAGCTACACTGCTCTCAGCAGATAGATTGGGGTGTAAAGGGATGGGGGATACAAAGGAAAAGGAAAAAGAAGGAGCTAAAACAGTAAGAGAGGCAGAGAGACAACAGAAATACTAACACATGAAAAAAAAACAGGAAGTCAGACTCTACTGAGATTATTTTTATAGCTAGAGAAAAGAGCTGGTGCTGAGGAATTTTGAGGGGTTGCTGGTGGGAGATGGAGGAGGGATTCAGAGGGAGAGAGACATACCTGGTGGCTGAGGGAAATTGAGAGTGTCAAAACCTGTTAATATGTGAGTAGCTGGTTTATGTTTGGAGCCTCTATTCCTGCGTCATTAAAGGTTAAATCTTCTGTGCCTTTGAAGGATGCTGCTTACACACTGCTCAGTTCTTGTTCTCTTTTGCATGGACACAGGATATATATCCAACAAAAGGTGTTAAAAGAGGGAAGATAAAGGGAGAAAGAGAGAGAGAGAGAGAGCAAGAGAGAGAGAGAAAGAGAGAGAGAGAGAGAGAGAGAGGGAGAGAGAGAGAGAGAGAGAGGTTAGTGGAGATAAAAAGAAACAGCTAAAAAGACAAAAGACAAAATGGGGCAGAAGATAGGTAACATTTTTGGTGTAACATAAATATTAGAAAGGAGTAATGACCAAGCCATGAAATAAAAATATTTCTGCGTTCTAAAACTGCAAGATCAAAGTTTTCCCTTCTACATTTCATTCTACGTGTAACTGCTGGTCCTTGAGCAGGTCCACCTCCTCAGTAGTTTGTTAACCACCTGCCTGTGAGCAAGGAGACCTGCTGGCCAGCTGCCGCCCTGGGCCAGCCCTCTGGAGGACAGCATCTCCTGGTGGGTCAACACATCCATTGTTATGATAAACCCCTCACTTCCAGTCCCATCACTGCAGGGTAAATCTCACAATCATCGTGCTTTTCCCCCATAGCGTTTTGCCAGATGCCCTCAGACCCACGCCTACCATTTGTCCTTCTGCTCAGGGTCTTTTCTTAGTTCCCGGAACAAACGTGTCACTCTCTTCCTTGTGAATTTGGTGCAGTTCTGGAGCTTGAGGGAAGATGGAGAAGAGAGAGAGTAAGACAGAGAGAGAGAGAGAGAGAGAGAGAGAGAGAGAGAGAGAGAGAGAGAGTTCCCAACACAGGCCTGCTGGGGCAGCTCCCCCACCTGCTGGGCATTCCCCTGCGAACATGGCACCCTGTACTGAAAGCCTAAGTAGCTCAGCACGCCCTTTGTGTATAGGAGAAATGAGGACTATTTCTGGGTAGGTCAAGTCTTGTCTCTCCCCAGAGTCCTGCAGCTCCCAGACACTGCTTCCTCAAGGAGTGCTATTGTTTACAAATTCCCAAGTGTGTGTCCCATGCAGTGTGTGCCAGTGCTATTTCATAGGCTCTCTATCTTTAGGTTTCTCTGAAGCCCTGGCTTGCGTGCATCTCCCTTGCAGTGACCCTCTCCTCGTGGGGAGTTTAGGGCACTTGTGAGCCTATTCCATCAGCCAGGCCAGCAATGACGTCCTGGCTCCCTGCCTACAATCCTCTCCAAAGCTGGTGGGTGCTCAGGGTGTGGCCTGGGGAGGGCACTGTAAACAAACACTTGGTGTTTTGCTTCCCTTTATAAATGCCTCTGACCTTGGTTTCAGCCAGGCACATTTCTCTTCCAGGTACCCTTCCATAGCCAGCTTTCTTTGTAATGCCCACCTGGAGTACCTGCTTATCCCTAGTGCACAGAGAAAGACTCCTTCCATCACCATCACCTGGAGGTGGCCACAGTTTTAAAACATGTACCACAGAGGACAGAATGGTGCCATTTGTACATAAGGAGTGGTGAAAATTGCCTCTCAAACTACTCCATAAATTTTCTGTCTAGGTCTCATTCCCGTATTTCTAGATAGCCTTCAGTACTAAAAGAATGCTAGAGGTTCAAATGACTGAATGGTAGGGTTTTTTTTTTTTTTTAATAAAGATAAAAGATCATTTTTGTTCAAAGGGAGAGGGCGTTCTGAGGCAATAGAAAATGGGAGGCAAAGGAGAGTGAAATTGTAGGTGCAGAATTCTTAAGTGTAGTCCAAATGCTGTGATATCATTATGTCCTGGAGACCTCCAATTGAGACCTACCCAGGCAGGAACTCTGAGTATGAAGCCCAGCTTCCAGGGTCTTAAGGCCTCTAGCTGACTTTGTTTCTTGATTCTGCTTAAGAAATCCTCTCATAGAACAGAGCTAGTCAAAGTTAGACTTAAAGGGACAGACAGTAAATAGCTTTGGCTTGGTGGAACAAAAGCCAAGGTGAACAGATCATATCTCTTACAAGAGAGAGTCAGGGAAGTAGTGAATTGTGTGTGAGTTCATGCTTTTAGTTTACACTGAGTTGGCCGAGTGGCAAAACTGGTTTAATGGCCTTTGAAAACCTGTTAGATTGGCAATCCTTCCTTTCGGGTTGGGTGTGTTTTGGGCTCAGGAGGTTGTGAAAGACTTCCCTTCCTCTCACTAGCCTCTTTCTTCAGAGGAACTTTGTGTGGACCTGAAATACGGTTAACCATCTATACCTGTAGGTTTTGGGTATGTGGGTTCAGCCAACTGTGGGTTGAAATTATCTGAAAACATTGTACCATACATACAAAATAATTTTTTGTTATTATCCCTTGAACAATGCAGTGTAACAAATATTTAGATAATATTTACATGATATTAGGTATTAAAATTTATCTAAAGTTTGAAGTATCAAAATGTTGTACATAGGTTACATGCAAATACTATGTACCACTTCACACATTAGGTTTGAGCACTTAGAAATTTTGTATCCACGAAGGATCTTAAGACACATTTCCAAAGGATTCCCAAGGGCAGCTCCCTGAAACGTTCAGGGACAAAGATGATATCATTAAATATGTTAACTGACCTGCAGTAATAATTCGGATTTTACTGAGTCTTGCGATCCTGGTAAACGGCTAAGGTTAAGATGCATCTCTACTCATTTGTGTTCTAAGAAAGGACTCATTGCAAACAGCTACCCTCTAGACAAGCCTCACAGACCCCCTTCAGTCCTGCTGACTGAAAAGAAGTCAGAAACAGACTCTCCAGCATCCCCTTTTCCCTCCTCAGTGATTAGCTGTAATCTGGCAAAAGCCAAATTTGCGGTGTACACTCATACACTACGTTTCCTGTGAACACTTGATTACAATAGGAAGTAGAAGACCTTCAGGTGACCTTCATGAAGACTGTCAGTCTGCAGTCCTTTTGCCTTCAGGAATTGGTTTCCTGCAAGATCATCTTTCCACTAACAGGATAGACAGGCTGGAAAGTGGTTTTAAGATGATTCTCAGTACCATATAACCCAGGGGCCTTGTGTGCATAATATGCAGTAGGGTTCCTGCTCCTGTGAGAATCTGGTGCCCCCGCTGATCCAAAAAGGAGCAGAGCTTGGGTGGTAAGACCACAGTGAGAAGTCACTGTAATTACAGACTGGCTTCACGTGCTTCAGGCTGCTTACCTCTTGCGGTGCAACCCTGCTGGATGTGGGACACATTTGCCTCACAGAAGTCCCAGGACTCCATGGTGTGTGGCGCTGGAGGACTGAAGCAGGCTATTTACGCTGGGCCATGTCCCCAGGCCATCACTGTTTTGAGACAGGGTCTTATCTAGCCTCTAATTTGCCCAGATTGAGGTCATATTTGCTATCATCCTGCCTGTCTCCCAGAGCGCTGGGATAACAGATGTGCACCATGATATCTTACTTCTTACATGATTTTTAACCCAGAGTTCCTAAAATCCAGGAAGTTTAAAGAATTTTCCTGAGTTTCTATAAAAAGGCTGTGATCAGAACTTCCTCTGAGGAAAAGATTCAGAGCTTTCACAATACACTCAGAAAGTTTCCAGAAGCGTACAGGGACTTCCAGAATGGCGAGTCAAGTGCTTATAAGACTCTGCCTGACAAGATAACATGTAAGTGGTGAAAATTATTTGAAAATATGATTTAGAATATATGAACTTTTTCAAAGTGTGTACACTAAACGTTCAACGAAAACTACCAAATTATCGTACAAATAAAATCGTTTATAGCATGGGAAAAGTAAAATCAGGAAAGTAATATATTATTACTAATATTCGTAAATAAAATTATAATGGTGATAATATTAAAATTAATATTATAAAACAAACCAATGGTAATATTAAATAACAAGTTCATATTTAGGATAATTTCTTGAAAGATACAATTAACTAAGTTCATTCAAGTATAAACAGAATGTTCTAAGAACAAATACAAAAGGTAGATTATATTGGTAACTTTATAAACTTTCTTCTGAAGAAAATCCCAGCGCTATCTGGAATCATTTCTCTTCAATCAAGCATATGAAAATTTTGAATTAATTCTTCCACAAATGAAAATGGATACTCTTCAGCTTTTTCTGGTAAAGTTAATAGTACCCTGATACTAATGCAGAAATCATTTTTACTGATAGGGTTTTTAGGCATGATAAAGGGAGGATATAAAGTAAAAATGGCCTTTATTCTAAGGACGTGGAGAGAACTCCATGAGCGCCAGGCCTGGCTTTCTCTGCTGGAAACATGGGGTATGGGACATACATACAGTTTCTCATTGGGGTGGTGCTTAGGGCGTCATTGCTGATGCATGAGCAGCTGATTGGGACTTTTTTCACTCCGCATGTAAGTTGTCATAGGGAAGGGGAAAGTGACCTCAAGGGAAACATCTCTTGGTCCCACCTCCCACTGCCCTAATATCATATCTAGGGCAAAATCGTTTCATTTACAAGGCTACTGAAAAGCAATATTTCTTACAAATGTAGACACAAAAATCTTTAACAAAATATTTGGCAATCAAATCCAGCAGCATTCTAAAAATGCTATACCATAACAACATTGGATTTATCCAAGCAAGGCAAATGTTATTCAGCATCTAGAACCCATGTTTACAGCAGCAGAATCCATAATAATTAAATCTTGGAAATGGTCTGTACGTCCATCAACAGATGAAAACTAAAGAAAATGCAGTATATATGAAATGCTAAAATCATAATACTGCATAGATCTGAGAACATACACAAAATTACATTAACTATATCTTTTAAATATGTAAAGTCTATTATGCATATTTCAATGAAACAAAAAAGTTGTAGTTGTTACCAGAAGTTGATCGTAACCACATTGTAATGAAGAACAGCATATAAGCAGTTCATTCTCATATTCACAACAGATAAACAAGTTAGTCATTAAGACACTTTATATTTAACCAAACACCACAGATAGACAAACTTCTAACACCTCACATATTCCTTCATCTGAGTGGAGCTGCCACTTCCTCTGTGAAATCTTCAACTTCTTTCTTCTACACTGAACTTTTTTATCTGTTGCCCCAGGCTCACTTTTGATAGATTCACAGCACTGAAGTAGAGCTGCATACCTTAGTCAATAGGTGAAAATCAGTCACACTATACGTTTTATTTCACTTACACCAGAAATCCGAGTTTCCTAGCAAATGGCTGCTCAAACCAGCTCAGATAGGTAAGGTCCATAGCTGGAAATTTGTGACCAACCAACTACTAATAGAAAAAAAAAGATGTGTTTTACTTGATGTACACAGATGCAGAATAAAAATAATCTATTTGCCGATATTTAAATATCAAGAATTTCCAGACTCGTAAAATGTGAAGAAAATTAGACCTCTGTTTCCACACAGAAGCAGCCAACCACACCGTGGTGGTTTGGTCAATCTCACTATCCCTTTTATATACGCAGATGCAATCACATGGTTGCACTTGCTGTCTGGCCTGTGTATGTGTTCAATGATTTGAATTTCATATGAAATTCTCAAGTATTATGCAACTTTCAACAAAGAAGAAAGGCTGTCTCTTCTTAGTGAAATTCCATTAGTATAAGATTGTCCTTGGATTCAGGCCAGAGTTCCCAGATGACCCATGAGTGGCGTAAATGGATGTGAGTCATGAGAGCACCCCCACCTGTTATTATTCATGCAATACCACGACTGTAAGGTGTGCCTTGTACCAACTACCCTCTGAGTCAGTGTGGTTTCCAAA